AACAATCCTAAGCAAGAGCTAAATGCGCGAAAGGCGAAAGTTGTACAAGTATCTCTTCATGACTTTCAAGCCAGTCTAATGCATCTAGTCGATCAATATTCGAACGATCGTGCTGTCTAGAAGGCACATCCCCTTATTGATTCAAATGAGCCCCTCTCTCTTGTGGGCAGAATAAGAGCTGTCCCTGCTGGGAGTACCATTTCGCTCAGGTCGTAAGTGTGGCAAGGGAGCTAGCGAAGATTGCTTCGTCCGCTCCCTTTTTCCTCAGTTGCAACATGCTGATGTCTGCACCCTCTCATCCATTGCGCTCCCTCGCCTATTCTCTCCTCTCCACGCTCGGTGTCTCATTGCCTTGACATAGTCAATAGTCAAATAAACAAATAGTTAGTTACAGTAGTAGTTAGTTTTGTCGAGTTACAAAAAGGAGCTGAATCAGCGACTAATTTAGTACTTTAGACAGAATCCTTTTCTTTGTTTTCAGTCCACCCCGCACCCTTGCTTTTATGTTCGTGTGCAAAAATCACAATTATTTGATCACAGTATGTGCCCTCAATCTTCTTTCTAGAAGTCATTTTTACCAGTCTGCACTCGTAAAGGTTCTGAAAAATGTTCTGAAAAAAAATTCCAGTAAAAGGTGAAGCTAACCGTTCCTTCGTCAACAGCTTGGAAGCGCTGCCAGGGCCTCGAACGATGGTGCAGGGAAGACACATGTTTGAAGATGAGTGAGAGCAGCCAGTACGCCGAGCACACATCCGAAACAATGATACAAGGGATTCGGAATGCATATTATCGTTTTCTGAAATGATAACAGTAGTTCTAGAAATTGTCCGGATGCGCCATACATTGGCCACTCAACGCAGAATCGCAGACGTGATTGCAATGGAAGTGATAGCGTGATTTACCACAGCAATCTCTTTACGTCATTTCTTTGAGGATAGCGGTCTACAGTCGTTGCGATGGTGCCGTTGCGACCAAAGCAAGGTACCGTACCTGTTCATGATAGCCGGCACGAATACCGATGAAGTAGGCGTTGTTCAGCACGTTGTGATGCGTCAGCGTGGCGCCTTTCGGTTGGCCTGTCGTTCCCTGGAGATCAATTTATTATTGATCAAACTTCCATCTGACATTAGATAGCAGAAACACTTGTCGCTTACACTCGTATATTGGATATTGATCGGATCATCAGGTTGAATTTCGCGTTCGATTTTCGCCAATTTCAACCGATCGTCAGCCGTTCCCATACGCATCACGTCGCTATATCGCCATGCGCCGCTAAAACCACAACAATATTCAAGATTGGAGAGTGTAGATGAGCTTGCAAGTTCCAAATTACGGGTCTCATTCAGTGAGGGGACAGATGGAGCGTTGGCTGCTGCTACCTACAGAATTTTCCTTTTTTTGCAGTTGAAGGAAATCTCCGGGGTGTGCGGCCCATTTTATGTACGCTTCTACACCCCACCAGGTCTTTCCTCTCTTGCGAAAAATTAGATCGCTTTAGGCGGTATGAACCCGCACCGTATGCCCCCTACTGGATTACACCCCAAATGACTATGATCACTCACGGATAAGCTTTATCTTCTGGGTCGAAGATTATCAAGTGACGGAATACAGGGAAGCATGATGAAGACACATCGCTTCGACCAGGTGGCTTCAGTCCAATTTCCGAAATCACGTCCTAAACAATGAAATCGACAATCTTGAATTTGGTTTGAATCGTCACGCTGTTATCACGTACCCTGACGCTCTGGTAGTAATTGGACTTCTTGAAACCAGGAGGAGTAATCAAAACTTTGATATCGACCTTGCCAAGAGCAAATCGTAGTTCTTCTGATTGGTACGAGGGGTTGATATTTACCTGGAACATTCAGTATTTATGAAAATGTCTTTGTTCCGTTGAGAAGTGTGCACAGCGTGACGTTTCGAAACATTGTGCTTCTCTGTAAGACCCTGCTGCGATATCCGCCCTAGCCCCATCCCGTAAAGCTGTGGTTCCCATGCCAGAGGCAGAACGGCGCCGTGCTTGCAGGCGCCGCAAATAATCTTTCAGGTCCTTGAGATCGAATTCTAGTCTGATCAGACCATTTAGTTTCAGCCTCTGCATGTAACTAGACATTCATCAGTCTCCGTTCGACCTAACCGAAATCATTATGATGTTGAGGCATAATGTTCAAGGGGAATTTTGAACTAATGGCTTTACCGACGCAATGTACTCAAACCGTACTTCTAAGCAGCCCCGCACACTTACCTATGCCTAGTTTACTTCATTATTCACGCAACTTCCTAGATCCACCTGTTAAACCTCCCAGTTTCACTCACCAGAACCATTCCTCCAAGAGCGGTGGCGAATTGAGCCGTCACCCATTGATAGGTGTTCGGTCCCCAGATACCAACACGATCGCCCTTTTCCACACCAAGGTGAATCAGGCCACATGCTAGACGTTCAGCCTACAATACACAAAAATAAATATGATATTCGAACGCAAAAAAAGTTGATTACTCAGATAACTAAGCAGAACTAGCACATTTTCTCAAACTAAAAAACGGGTCTTTATTCAGTAAGGGGGGGGCATGTGGTGTGACAGTTCTTGCCGGCTACAGAAATTCCAATTTTTGCAAGGGAGGGAATCCCCGGGTGCGTGAACCATTTCGCTTAAACTTTTACACCCACCCCGAGCTTCCCTTCCCTAAAAAAGTGGATTACTTCATGCAATATGAACTGTCGCACTATGTACATGCCACCCTCCTTTACTGGATAAGAACCAAAAACTCATACGTGGGTGGTCTTCTATTAAAAGAATTCAAAAATGGAATTGTACTCCAATCATACCATTACTGATTACGGTCGTTGATAAATTATTATCTCACGTCTTTTAAGAGCTGATAGTATGTCCGCCGAATATTTTCCCGTTTAAAAATGACAAATTCTTTGTTTGGAGTCTGAAAAAGAATAGAATAAGTCTTTGAGTAATTATCTACGACTTGAATATGTCCACCCATAATAACTCCACTATAATAACGCAAGTGGATGCTTCAATAGCATGCATCTATAGTCCCTTTCAAAAACGCAGAGAAAGCAGCGGGTGCACATCACATAGCACCACACAAGTGACGACGGCCTCCGTAAATGTTTTCTGCCAATGAAATGATTAGCCTGTTGCAGTTGTATTCTATCAGTTGTCACTAATTACAACTATCATTTACCAAAAATCAGCTATCACTATGAACCACTACTAACCAGATTTACTTGGAGGCCGTCGTCACTTGTGGTGTATGGTCTGCACCCGACGCTCTTCTCGTTTTTGAAGAGAGGGCACCTTAGCATGTTCTCTACTTGATCTTAATAAGCTTTGAACGTTACCTGATCGACTGCACTTCGCAACCGTTCGCCCACGGTCTCGAAGAGCAAAGGTATTTGTGAGCAGCCGTGCACGTAGCTCTTACGACTCGGCTGGGCCATCGCATGCGCGGACAGCGCCGCCTCTTCCAGCGATATCGGCTCTTCTGGAAAAAATCGTATACATTGAAAATCTACTGAATTTCCCAAGTTTTCCCTAGGCCACGCTTTTTCCAGAAAATTAGAGAACTGCTTAGTTTTGATAGAATAGAACTGGTCTATCGACCAGTTTTGTGGTAAGGATATCACAAACACCTAGAAGAAACTGATCAATAGTCAGTTATACTAGCGCGATCTCTTCACAAATTAGCTACCTAGATAAAAACGTCTCAGGGAAATTTCATGATATCCTTAGATCAATCACTCAATTATATGTGAATTGATTATACGTAATAACCGTAATATTCCATCATAGCAAAATATTTAAAAAAAAAGGTGATATTTCATCGAGGCAGCAGCAACCAAAGGCCAACAAAGGCTACTAAACCGCTTCTTAAATTTCATCTGAGACTTGTTACGTCACCAAGGTTAACTGTTGCATTGTGACCAATTCAGAACACTTCCGCTATTTGAACCTACTGACCTTATTTCCAAAAGATTGTCCTTCCCCTATCCTCATGAAATGGCGATGGCGCTTTGCCTAACCCCCTCCAAAAGCCACAAAATGCCCCACCCCTACGCCTGTGGTTGTTGGCACAATGGACAGGTGACTATGTGAGTCACATATTGTTCAGACCAGTAACGATTTGAAAGACTGATAAATAAGGAGATCAGGTTATATTGACCAGAAAATTCTTAATTGACTAAAGTACGAATGAAGAACAATAATAAAGGCTATGCAGTAACCGGTTGGCCATCAGTAATGTGATGACTTGAACTCCAACACAAGAAAGGGCATCACATCAAAGGACGAGCAGTACACCGTTGAATATGCGCCGTAAAAAGTACTAAACATCTTAACTACACTGCACTTTGGCTACTGTGACTGGTTCGACCCCGAGGAATTAGACCATGTTCGGGACTTCCTCCTCCATGCAGTTACATGTTACTCTGACATAGTATTTTGAATAAATAGTTAATATATGTATAGTAATGAAGACAGTTTCCGATTTTGCTTCGTAATTGGCTCTAGTCATTTTTTGATATGTAATACAAAAGCTGAGGTGGAAGTGGTAAGTGGGCTTACCACGCGAGCGGTCCGGGATCAAATCCTGGGTCGTGAGTCGCCCGGGCCAACCAAGCCTTCCATCCCTCCGGGGTCGGTTAATTGGTACCAGACTTGTCTGGGAGGATAAAAACACTGACTTGTACATCGGCTGGCCCCCGCAAGTCATTGTATAGGCCACATCGCATTCAAACGCCACTACGAATGTACAATGGAAGTATGCCAAAAAGG